GAGACGAACCGACTTCCCAAACCCATAAATTGTTTATTGCCTACGGGGGATTAGGGGATCGGGCCACATATATACATACGCATATCTGCAATTTAACACCCGCTATTGGACAGCTGAAGTTTTGTCCAGTTGTGTGTCCAGTGTCCAGTGCGTGGGTGTTGATGTTTTGCCGACTCGGCGCTGCCGGTTGACAAATGTTGCAGCCACATGCGCCGCTTAACTAAAACTGCCTGCCTGCCTGCCCAGCCAGAGCTGCGATTAATCGTGGATAATGGATAATGGTCGTGGCAGGGGCAGGGGCAGGGAAATCGGAAGGCTATCTTGTTTCTACCTACCTCGATGCCGCCCGATCAATGCAGAATGCATACCGTACTTTATTCACAACCGATCAGAGCTAGAGTATAAGCCATGGGGTATGTTTGAATGCCTGTAGAGTTTGTTACTTTGGCAATAATATAAACAATATTGTGATAAGTTTTAGGAGACTTATTAAAACAAAAAGAAGTTCTTTTAAAGAGCAATATACATAAATCTTTTATCAATATACTTTAGAAAAATATATTTTTAACAATATATTTTAAAACAAATATTGAATTTTTTACCATTTTACCCATTTTTGTATGGGTAGAATGCTCGTTCTTTTGATTTTATGTTTAAAACTCTTTAAGACAGCTACAAATATAATACCTATAATATTAGAATAATCTAAAGCGTAAGAGTATTTTTTTAAGTCGTACATATTACAATCTCTTAACTTCATATGTAAATCCCCATACTCTCCAAACACCTGATTTATTGGATAGTTCTGTTGAATGCGTTTCGCCACGAACCTCAATGAGTTTCCTTTATGGACTGTGTTGTTACAATCGAGTTATTATGAAATAGCAGTTAGAGCCTGATTAGCAAATGGATGGATTGCAATGGTTAACGGATATTGGATAAACAACTAATGTCTGTTGTCCGCAATTTGTGCCAGGAATTTCGTTGCCTCTGAGACTGATACTCCGGCTAACCGCAAATGAAGCTATTTTCAGAAGTTTGGTTTTTCCCTCATTCCAGAATAGAGGGCGTCCTTTGGAAATTCGTGACCTCCCTGCCCTCGGAAGGCCCTTTGAAAACCACAAACGTCCACAGCTGCTGCGGAATGGAATGGCCCAAGGCGATGTGGTAACGTGCGAGAAGGACTCGCGACTGTCAAATTAAATTAATAAACACAATTGGTAACGGCGAGTCCTGCGAATTCAGTGAGTCCCGCCAGTCCCGGCCAACTGTCCACTCCCACACAGATCTATATAAGGTCGGGTCCATGGTGGCCATGCCGGCGTCGGCAATTGTAAATGAAATTTTTATCAAATTGAGTTTTTGGGGGCAACGGCACTGCGGCAAGGACTCAGCTTTTGGCACGCCCCCGGCCGAAAGGATCTGCCTGCCCATCCCCTTTTATCTGAGGTCTGTGTCTCAGGCCACAGCATTTTGTATTAATTACAGCATAGCCAGAGGTATTGGCGCTTTCAGAAAGTTTCAACATAATTGATTTCATTTTTATTCTCCCATCGAGGACTGGGAGCAGAAAGAGCTTTACGGTCATGACGTGTGCTGGACACCTCAGCCATTACACCAACTACAGGCATTAAAGTGCAAATAAATTGATTGAATTATTGGCTGGACGAAAAGATGCGTCGTCGGAGAGGTATCAGTGGAAAAATTTACTTTTTAATTTACTCAGAAAGCCGAGTTGAAAGAAAAGCAATGTCAGTGTGTCTTAGGGAAGCTGACTCTATGATAGAGTCCTGGTTGTCCTTTAATATTACATTTTACATCTTTTATTTAAAGTCAAGGAGAGAGTCTCAAAATAAAGCCTTTAAGATTATGTATGTGACATCAACAAAAATTTGCAAAAGGACTTAATATCCTACAGGGTATATAGCCAAATGGGCGCGGGATTGGTTTTATTTCGTGAGAGTTTTTACAAAATTTTTTTTACGTTGGACTGAGCACATTCTGCTTTCATTGTCCTGCGGCAGTGGGTCTGGCTGGTTATTCCTTTTTGCACATCCACAGATTGAGTTACGCCCGTTTGTCCTTTGCCGGAGTTGTCTGTCGTGGTCGCTGTCCTTGTCGTCCCCTATCAGTCTGAATCGGATTCTCGTCCTGCCAGTGGCCGTGGCCGTGAACAGGACGTGCACTTTTCCCACCTACCACCTACCGGCTCTCCTGCCGCCAGGTGGCACTTGGAGCTCGGTTGGGTTATTGAAAAATCGGATATTGCGTATTTTTTAATTATGAACGAAGCGACTGGATATTAAGTCCCATTTGGATTTAAATTTAATTAAACTTTACTTTGGGCGCTGTGGATCCTTCTTGGTGATGTGTGAGCGATACTTTGAGGGATTTTCGAAGGAAAGCCACTCACAGTTTGTGCATTTTAAATGCAGAATAAACTTTAAAGTCGGGACAAGAAACCGCCCTGAGTTGTACGAATTTTGTGCAAACATGCAGAACTATTTTAACCCGCTCGAGTAGTGCCGAGTCCGTTGAGCAAATAAACTTGAAAATACGTATCATAAATGCATAGTTTTCGTCCTTTTTTCGGGGGATAGCCAGACATTGCTATTCATGTTTGGCCAGACGCCTTCGGCCAGGGGTGCGACGGGGCAAAGGACAATGAGGACCAATGGCAAGGACAAGCTGCTTGTTCTGCCTCTTTGGCTGCCACTGCAGTGGCAAGCTCAAAATTTTAATGATATCAAATACACACACGGATATATGTGGCAGTTCGCTCCACATGTGTGTATCTGTGTCTGTATCTGGGCACAATGCAGTCGGCATTAAGTGGAAAAGGATGCGCCAAGGATACCAGCTCTTTCGTTCGCACAGACACAGGCATACGTGCATGCGTAGATTTTATGTATTTGGCTCACGATTTAAGCTGGCGAGGAAAATCGGAGCAGGAGAGAGCTGAGTAGACACTCGCTGCGGCATAAAATCCAACAATGCGAGTGTGTCCTACCCACAGGATATGCGCCAAAAGCAGCCGACAATCAAGCCAGCCCGAAATGATGTACTTAATTCTGTTCCTTGGCATATTTTTTCTTATTTTCGTTGTCTTCCTATTTAATAAACTGCATGCAGTTTTCCGCTTTCTGGGGGAAATGCAAATGAAACTGCACGAAAGAAAGAGAAAAGCCGGTTGTTAAATCCTTGGAGCAGCCACCAGCTGCACCGCAGGAGTCTAGAAGCCTGAGTCTAGACCTTGACGACCGACCACATCGCTGTCCTTGTCGGCGGTGTCGCCTCCGATAAGCATACGCCCTGTGGGCGCGCCAGATATTATAATACGTGGCCATTATCCCGGCTCTGCCGGCGATAAATCACACCAGGACATCTTTGTGTGCCAGCAGCAGACGCAACACCATTGCAGACCACCAGCAGTCCAAAGACACTGCAAAAAATGTATAGTGTTTGTGTAACTAACATTTAAGCTATGGAATGTATGCTTATTATGGATATTTTTCCAAGTGCTTGAAGAGAAAACATTGAAAAGGTTCCTCTGGAAACTGGAGCAGTTTGAGAATCGGACTTGGTGGCTCTGGCCCCGCGGAGCAGACGTTTCCCCGGCCATATCTGAGTCGCTGCATCGCGGGCACGCTCATAAAATGTTGCGCCTGCCCACACCCTCCTGCCGAGGACAAATTTGCTTAGAATTTGAAATGCAAGCCAGACAATGGCCGCAGACAGGGCCAGGATGCGACAGTCGGAGGAAGAGACGAGGATGCGCTGGCTCTGAAAGAGAAATAAAAGCTGCCCAGCTCTATCTGAAAGCGAAGCGATGGTGCAAGGATTGTTAGCCGGGATCTGCATTATTATTATTATTACAGTTGCAAGTTCAAGTTCACGGTTGACTCCGGTCTGCTCTGGACTGGTAATGGAAATGGAAACCCTTGTAATGGGGGATTGAGAGACTGGCATACGAAAGGGAGTGTCACCAGATATGACAGCTCGAGGACTCGGGGTCGTTGTGGTCATAAAATAGTTGATCCTTATGGATTGTGGATGGTTTTGGCTTTTGGGGAAGTAGGAATTAAATTTTTTTCTGGCGATTTGTTGGTAAAAGTTTCAACCTTAAACTATATTATATTTTTGAGAAGAAATTCTCTATATCCAGAGACATACATCTGTATAGTTTTTATAATGCTATCCTATCCAAAAAATTACCTTCTCTTTATGCAGCCCATAAACAGTTTATGTCCACATCCACACCAACCCCAATGCCGTCATCGTATCCCACTTCTGGGACGGCCAGTTCATCTTGTCACAATGCCAAACTCATCCGTTGCCTATGCCTCGATGGTGAAACTTTTGAATAATTCCGTGGACATTCAGAGCGACATCAGCATGCTTCATTGGAGCCCCGCCTCTTAATGCACCATTGCCAGCCAGGGCTGATCCCGGCTCCCTCCCAGTTCCTTCCTCCTCTTAGTATCTGCATCCGCATCCGTATCTGTATCTCAACCTCCCGGCAGTGAGCTCGGACCGTTTTATGGCCATGTCCGTGTCTGCTCTCGTGGCCTTCAGACGCTCATAAACAAGCGACACAAGTCGGACACTGCCAGGGCACCATCAGCAGAACCGGAGGAGCTGCACAGGCAGGATGGGGATTGGCAGTGGAACACCAGTGGCAGGAGGAGGACCTAATGTGCTGGGCGTGGCTTTGCATTTATTCGTGTGTAAAATTTTAATTGAAATATATATTTAAGCAGGGTAGGGGCAACAGCGACGAATGTCATTTGTATCTGTATCTGTCGCTGGAGCTGTATCTGCATTTCGCAGATGCGGATGCGCGTGTGCCTCGCTAATGTTTTCATTTGCATGCGAAGAACATCAGCCCGGAAGCGTGTTTATATGCAAATGCGTCCTGTGATTATCGAGGCTGCTTTGGAATGTCTGTTCCCAATGCTCCCGCCATGTCGGGGTGTTAACTATTTGTTTTTGTGCTCTGATTTTGTTTGGGTATCTCGGGGCGTGTACTTCTGTCTAGCCATCACAGCCAAACAAAAAAGCAACGCTTTCTATTATTTCAACTTAAACTACATTTTTAAATAAGTGCTTCTACCAGTTTACAATTTTTCACGCTGGAATTAAAGTACTTCTTATTTTTGATATGTCAGCAGGTGGGTCGAAGACTACTGCTCCAGGCTTGTGCTTTTCATTTCCGTAGTTTTCACCCGCCGCGCACAGAGCCACGTAAGTTTTGTCCTTCTCCTTGCAGGCACTGGCCGGTCTGTAGGACAGGCGGTAAAGAGGCTTCTTCACGAAGAGGTCCGTGCTGAAGGCACACACAAACACAAAATGATGAATGCCGTATACTGTGAACCGCAACGAAGCACATCCCATATGGGTGTTGCGGGCGGTGATCAGCAGGGCGGCCTTGGCGATGTTACTTTGGACAGAAGACGATTCATAAGTATACTTTAATACCTTACAGTAGTTTTTACCTATTCGACAGTGTAGCTGGCATGTACAGCCCCATTTTCATGTTGATGTCGGCTGAATACTTGATCCATTCCTCAATCATTCGCATCATTAGCTCCAGATCTTCGTAATCGTTTAAGCGGCCTTCGTACTTGTAGCCCCCGTAGATGCTGCCCACGTAATAGAAATCGGGAGTTCCGACGCAAAACTTTTCCCCGGCACAGGTGATGACCATCAGTCGGGCCATTTCCTCTAATTCCAGAGAGTAGCTCATTCGGGACATTCGGGCGGCGGCCTTGAGGAGTTTCAGACCGCCACTGGCCGTGAGGTTACGGAACTCGTTGATCCGATTCAGGATTACGTTTCGGTACTGAGGCATTGAAATAGTTCTGGCATTCAGCGAACAGTTTTTGCTATAAAGCTGATAGGATTGCGAGTTAAGATAGTTTACCCATAGTGTGGAGAGACTTACAGCTCTATTGTTGCATGGCAGGTTGTTTACGCCGCAATAGGGCAGCACACAGTAGTTTACATGCCGCTTTTCACCAGACGACGACACAAAGATACTGATCAGTATGGCGGATACTAGCCAGCTTAGGTCCATTTTTAATGAAAGACTGAAAGCGTTTGGACGTCTTCCACATATTTATAGAAAAAGCTGGACAGTCTTATCCACACGGAATGCAAATGTTCCGACTTCTTCCAGAAATCTGCTTATCTGCTTTCAAAGAATCATATAGGCTTTTCCTGCAATATTCAGAAGTTGAAACATCTGTTCCAGTTACTTCTAAAAAGTGCCATTTGGAATCATACTAAAAGCGTGTCTCATTCAGTAGCAACAATCCTATAATCTACTCCTTTCTCTAATAGGATACCACTAGTATATTCCTGGAACCCCACAGATATTCAATTGCCCCGATTAAGGCTGACACATCCTTTGGGCCACTGCCGAGTGTGTCAATCGAACAGCGTCATTAGGGATGTGCTCATTAACGACCCAGCAGTTGGTGATATTTGAAAAATCCATTAGACCCTTCGCGCCCTCTGGCCACAACCACAAGCAAGCAACCCCCAGCTCTAGGACTCTGACCAGCTCGCAGACACTTAACGCTCCGTGTGGCATAAAATTTCTATACAACAATTTATGTTAAAATTAATGAAGAGCTCGGCGCGGGGTGTGTCCCGGGTGTTGAGGTGTTAAGCACAAAAAAACGAGACGGGCAAAATGTAAATTCCCAATGCCTGGAGGAGATCAGAGGCGGCGGGAGGGCCTGCTGTTGACCCAAGCCGGCGGCCCGCTCGCAATGAATGTCATTCGGATTAAGCGTTGGATAAGTTTTTAATTTATTGTGCATACAACACAGTGTTCAGTGTTCTTGGCTGCTATGCTTTTCAGCCAGGTTAAGTGGGGGTGTAAGTGCAGGTTATCTTGGCGTGTTTATCGGAGCGTTCCCATCGCGGCCACGTGCCGTGTCCCACGCTAAGGAGATGCGAGTGTTAAGCACTCCTCCTCCTCCTCCGTCTCCTCGGCTCAGTTCAGCTTGAGCTGGCTGGTCTCGGTGCCGGCGTGGAGGACCAGCAGCTCGGGGGTCATCGGGGCGGTCAGGGTCACCCAGGACTTGGGCACGCCAGCGTCATCACGGGCCGATTGCAGTGCCTGCTGCAGGGCGAAGGCCACCGCTATGGACAGGCAGATAGCTGGCTCGCCAGTGGCTGAAAAAAACAATGAATTCTTAGTTAATCCTTTAAACAAGCAGCAAGGATTTCAACTCACCCTTGGAACGCATAAAGCCGGCCTTGTTGGGGCTCTTGGGCAGGAGTTCGATGCGCAGATCCGATGGGATGTCCTTCGCTCCTGGCGGCTTGTAGGTCCATGTGCGATTCGTGAGGCACTCGCCAGTATTCGGATCCGCGACGATTTGTTCGCTGGTCCAGTAGCCCAGACCCATCATAAACGCCCCCTCGATTTGGCCAATGTCCACATTAGGATTCAGACTCTCGCCAGTGTCTTCGAGGATGTCGGTGCGACCCACAACATAGTTTCCAGTGAGCACATCCAGCTCCACTTCGATCAAACACAGACCGCACACCGAGTAGGGATCCATGTCGCCCTGCTTGCACTGATCGCTGGCGATGAGGTTGATCTTGCGGTTGTAGGCCTCGTTGATCAGCGACTGCCAGTCCTGGGGCTTCAGCTCCTCCTTGAGCGGCGCCAGGCGTTGGTTGAGAGTCTCACAGGCCTTGCGAACAGCAAAGCAGAGTGTCTCGCTGCCTACGGCTCCACCAGTGACCATGGAGTTGGCTCCGTTAATCGTGTCGCTGGTCTCGATGCGCACCAGCTCCATGGGGATACCCAGGGTGTGGGCCACCACCTGCGAGATCTTGGTGTTCATGCCTGAGGGAGTAAAATAAAACATGCTGAACTAAAAATCGTATTTATGGATCGTAGCCACTCACCCTGTCCCATTTCAATGCCTCCATGGGAGATGACTACAGTTCCATCGCTGTGGTAGATGGCCACCGTGGCAGGGTACTGTCCAAAGTAGCCGATTTGGTATTCCATGATGCACAGGCCCAGTCCTCGCTTGCGCCAGCGGTTCTCCTTGTTAAAGGCAATGCTGTCGGCCTTGCGTTTCCGGTACTGGGTACTCTCGAGGAATCTGGTTATCATGTCACCCATTTTGTGGGCTGGCAGCATGTTGGCCAGGCGCACATCTACCGGATCGACTCCAGTTTCGAACGCTATATGCTCAATAATGTTCTCTATCATGGCGATGCCTTCCACGGAGCCCGGAGCTCGACACGGTGTGTTCGATGGGGAGTCCGTATACACCAAGTAGCCATCTAGTTTGTAGTTGTCACTGAACTCGTAGCAGTTCTTGGAAAGCAATACCACGTGCCCGATGGGGGATTCGTTCGACAAGTATCCGGCATCCGAGAAGAAACGGCTTACAATGCCAGAAATTTTTCCGGACTTCTGGACGAAGAAATCGTAGTCGCTGTGGAAGGCCCAACGCTTGCCCAAAGTGGTCATAATGGACTCCAGGGATTGCACAAACCGAACTGGTCTATTCAGTTTATAAGCAGCTACGGCGGCTGCAGCAGCAGCCAGGTTGCAACGGGTGGCCTTGCCACCGTAGCCTCCGCCAATTCGTCTGGTTTTCACCTGAACTTCGTTGGACTTCAAGTTCAGTATATTGGCGATGATGTCCTGGGTGAGGTCCATCCACTGGGTGGCACAGTAGACCTGGACGCCGCCTTCAAACGGTATTACCACCGTAGTCTGGGGCTCCATGTAATAGTGGTACTGCAAGCCCATGTCCAGTTTTCCAGAGGAGCTTACATCGAAAGGTTCCTCCAACTCCAAATTATCAATGCTGGACTTGACCTTATGTTCGAAACGCTTATTGCTTCCTACTTCGGAGCCTAACTTATCCAGAACGTGTTTCAGAGTGGGCAGCAGCTCCTCCTTTTTACCTTCGTAGCTGAGCTTCACCAGCTCCGCTGCCCGATTGGCCAGTGCGTTAGATTCGGCCAGGATAACGCCCACGGGCTCACCGTAGAACTGGATCTCTCCAGTGGCGAAAATCTGCTCGTGCTGCGAGAAGAAGAAGTCGTCTCTGGTCTTGGGTCCAATATAATTGGGCCCCGGAATGTCTTTGGCATCCAGATAGGCCACCACTCCGGGCAGAGACAAAGCTGGTTGTGCGTCTACTTTGGTGACCTTGGCGCCCACCTTCTTGGCGGTGACAAAAGCCGCCCAGAGCTGGTTATGCTGGGTGGGAAGATCGTTGGAGTAAGTTGCTTCTCCAGAGCACTGGATCAATCCCTCATGCTTCTCGGTGGCCTTTGTGACTGGATAATGTTCTTGGAAGCTCTCGAAAATCTGCTGTCCACTGGACACTGGACGGTGGAGCAAAGATCCTCCGGTTACGTACCGGTTACCCAATCCCTGTTTTCGCTGGGCTGCAGCTTTGAGAAGGGACTTGTAGAAGAGCCCAATAGCCAATTTGCGACGATACACGGGAGAGGCATCGGGCAGGACTTCGTCGGGTTGGAGCAAGGTGGACAGCTGGCCGAAGGCCTTCTCCACCAGGCCATTCTCGAAGGGGTTCTTTCCCTGAAGGAACTTCTCAATGGCCGTGGCATGGACGAACTCGGGATTGATTCCACCGAAGCAAATGCGCGATGACTTCACCCGGGAGTCTGCTTCCAATTCCAGCAGGAAGGCGGCGTTCACATAGGCATGTGCGTTCTGAGCACGAGGCATAATCTTTTAAAGAAAATATAATTTATTATAAAGGATTACTATCGGAATTTGGGGAATATTTCCGTTCAGTGTTACCACACCTTTCGCTGGAGATATTAAATTTCATTCTATGTTAAATTTCTGCTAATCAGCTTCAGCTCTTACATTTCTGTTATTCTTACATGAGCTAAAATTTAGATCTACTTGGAATCTATATCTTATATTCCTTCTTTCGTTAAAAATAATCTTCCTGATTATGTTCTTACCTTATAGGAGTCGAAGAAGAACTTATCCTGGGGATAAGCTCGCAGCACTATTCCCGTAACAGCCTTTCCCTCCAGGGAGGAGCTAAGGAAGGTGGCAAGGCTCACAGTCTCCTCCTTGTCCGCCGACGACTGGACGATCACCTGGGCATCCAGAGCCTCCAGGACAATGAACACATCCGAGGGGAACTCCGGGTGGGCGTGCTTGATGGCCAGGTTTCCAGCCAACGTTCCGGCCTGGGTTAATACGAAAAATATTGATAAAACTCAATAGCACTCAAGGTGCGTTCCAGAAATCGCAGATAAGATTGCCATGGAGGGCTTACGAATGAGGAGGTTATGAATTCAACTTACATTGCGCACCGGCACATTGGCGATCCAATCGAGGTGCTGCCACACCTGGGCCAGGTACTCGAAACCCTTGGTCTTCTCCAACTGCCGGCAGAGATCCATGGCCTCGCTGAGGCTCAAGTTGGCGCCAAGAGCCAGGGTGGACTTGTCGGCGGATAGGCTATAGCCCTTGAGCTCCTTCAGGCCGGAAATGTCGATGAAGACCTTGATGTCCGGGCTGCGCCGGTAGACACCGTGAGCGGTGTTTCCTGCCACCAGCATGTAGGGGAGCTTCTCCTTAACAGCTTCTTGAAGGGCGGCAAAGAACTCGGTGAGGTTTCTCGGCCAGCTCCAACGACTGCCATCGGAATAGAGTTGGCTGCCCTGGGGCTGCTGCTTCTTACAGCTTCCGGAGCAAGCTTGGCCCGTCTTGGGGCACTGCTTGGTGGTCAGATCCTCGATGTCGGCACACTCCGCTGGCACCTGGATATTGCTGTCCACGGCAAAGGACTTCATGGCGTCCATTATAGGGCGGTAGCCGGTGCAGCGGCAGATGTTGCCTCCAAAGGAGTTCTCCACTTCGGCCATGGTCACCTTGCCACCTTTTGACTTCAGGAGTCCGTACATGTTCATCACGATTCCGGGTGAGCAGTAGCCGCACTGAGTGCCATTCATCTTGGTCAGCCGCTGCTGGATGGCATGGTATCCGGTCCTCTTGTTGCCCAGTCCCTCGGTGGTGGTCACCTCCAGGCCCAGGCAGGTGTTCAGCAATGTCAGACACGAGTTGACCGCCCAGGTGCGGGGCTCTCCTGTCGCCGGATGCAGTCCAGTCAGGGTGCAGACACAGACGCCACACCCGCCCTCCTGGCACATGAACTTGGTGCCGGTGAGCCCGGCATGCTCTCGAATGAAGGTGTTCAGCGTGATATCCGCCGGCAGGGCAGCCAGGTGGACTGCAAAACGATAGGAGGTCGGTGGTTAGCCTTATCTAATCATCATTCCAAATCGGAATTGGTGGCGGAAACATGTCAAATCATTGTCAGATAACAGCCTTATTCAAAAACTTACACTATCTTGAGTATTTATTTATAAAATTTTTACAAATACATTATTAAACTAAAGCTAAGAACATTTAATAAATGAGAGGCTCTTTTGATTGATAACAATTTTAGTTTCTTGTTTCTCGATTTCAAAATTGCTTGTATTTGAAACGCTTTCTGGTATCTCTGTCCTATCTCTCCTAGGTGTATGGTATACTGATACACATATACAATTAATTGTAATTTAAGCTAGAAAATATTTATAAACACCTATCCACTGTGTTCTTTAAATGTAATCAAGACCTATGCAAGTAATAGACTTGGATGAAGTGTTTTCCCTGTTTGTATTTCAATTCCAAAGTCCACTTTAAGAAACCCTTGTTATAACTACGCATTTTGAAGTGCTTGTGCACCTAAAGACTCTAGATATTATAAAGTGATTAAAGAAATTTCACAACATTTCAGCCAAGATACTAGTAGTTTACCCTGCTTTGGATTGACGCCTAAATTGTACACGAAGATCTTAACAGCAGGTATTTCGTAGTCGTGCGATCCAGCGTTTTGTAAATGACAACCCACATCATTCTAATGGCAATTAACTTCCCACACACCCAAACATTATAGATTTTATATATTTTTGTTTTCCCGGGACTCACCTTCATGCCTAGTGCCGTTGATTGTAATGCTTCCAGTCATTATCTATATCTTATATAAGAAACAGAATCACTTGAGGAATTATTGTGAAATTAAATGTAGACTTTTTTCAACAGCCTCAGTATTGTATCAAAAATATGGATGGGTTTAAGTTTTTTCTGGAACTATGGAATTTCACAATTTTGGGTAACCGGCCACGTGTTCGATGCGAGCGACTCCTCCGCGATCTGACAGTGACTGTGGGCATCGGTCTCCCGGAGTCCTCTATATATTCGCTTTCCGGAGCCCGGAACCCAAAGAGATTCAAGTTCACCTGGTTTCGCTCTTAGATTCCCTGCTCATTTCCAACATTAGATCGCTCTCTACCGGCCCGAAATCTTATCTAACATTCCTGTTTAATAATTATTCTCTTGGCACGCTGGGCCGTGAGAGCTTTATCAACAGACTGTTTCGACGATTTTGTTGTGCTCGGTTTTCTAAACAAATACACAAAGCAATTATTTATTCGATTCTGTTTAAAACCGAGAGAGCATTCATTAACGCGAATATGAGGAAGAAATATTAAATGGATAGACCTTGTTTGCTTGAAAAACCGATACTTTTTTGAGAGTAAGAACTAAACACCAGAAAAATATGAAAGAAAGCTTTGGGTTTTGCCCATTAAAATTTTGGCTTTATATTTTCTAAGAAAGTCATTTAATTTATGTTTGGTACAAAACATCTCGAATCAGAATCTTCCATACCATAGACTCTTGCCCTGGCCCTGGCCATAACTCCGCTTATACGATTTTCACAATTTATTGGAATGCCTTATATAATGTATAAATGGTGTTCCATTAAATGCTTATTTTGGCCAACCTAAGATAGTTCTCCATTTAATTTAATACCTCAACCCTCTTCTAATGGGTCCACATCGATCTAATTAAGCCTAAAACTTGATACATCATGGCCTGCATTTAGCACTAATGTTTCTGGAGTAGTGGGAGCTCCCAGACGTACCCACTCCCTCGGAAGTCCAGCATCTTGACGCGCCGACTGCAGCGCTTGACGAAGAGCAAAGACCACACTGACTGCCAGACAGCAAGGTGGCTCACCTGTGGTCTTCGATCGCATGAATCCTGCCCCGCTAGGATTTGGTTTCTGGATGAGCTCAATGCGAAAGTCGATGGGTATGTCCTTGGCGCCCGGTGGCTTGTAATACCATGTGCGATTGGTGAGAAGGCGACCCGTTTCGCGATCATAGACCAGCTGCTCACTTAGCCAGTAGCCCAAGAGCATCACAAAGGCTCCCTCCACCTGGCCCACGTCAATGTAGGGACTCAGGCTTTCGCCAGCATCCTCCAAAATGTCTACCCGTGTGATCTGACTGTTTCCGGTGAGCACGTCGAGTTCTACTTCAGTGAGTGCTAGTCCATAGATGTGATAGTTCTCCATATCGTCTTCCTTATAGTGTTCGGATGCGATCATGTTGATCGATTTCCTATATGCCGCTTTAACAATTTCCATCCAAGTGGCATCCTTCTTTTTAAGTGGTTTCAATCGATCGTTAAGGGTTTCACAGGCTTTCCGGACGGCGAAGCAAAGCCTCTCACTACCCAAAGCCCCACCAGTTACCATGGAGTTGGCTCCGTTGATGGTATCCGAAGACTCCACTTTGATGTAGCTCATACCGATTCCCAAAGTGTAGGCCGCCACTTGAGCAACCTTTGTGTTCATACCTAAAGGAGAATGAAAGATCAGAGAGGCATAAAAAAAACAATCTGGAGTCCAGTACCTTGTCCCATTTCGATGCCTCCGTGGCTAATCACAACCGATCCATCCACATGGTAAATGGCCACTGTCGCCGGGTACTGCCCAAAATAGAAAACGGGGTATTCCATAACAGCCAATCCGATTCCCCGCTTCATCCATCGGTTTGTGGCGTTATAATCCTCGATCTGCTGCTTTCTTTCATAATAATCCCTGGACTGTAGGAGTTCCGGTAGCAATTCGGTCATTTTGTTTCCGGCAGAAATATTAGCCAGTCTGACTTCAGCTGGATCCTTTTGCACCTCGAAAGCAACGTGCTCGATGATGTTCTCTATCATGGCGATTCCCTCCACCGACCCTGGGGCTCGGCACCAACTGGAACTGGGGGCATCTGTGAGGACCTCGTGGCCATTAAGTTTGAAATTCCGTTCGGTGAAGTCGTAACAATTGGGGGCGGTAAACTTGGATTGAAGGTTTACAGGACTGTCGTTTGGACACCAGCCAGCGTCTTCAAAATAATCGTGGGATAAGCCGACAATCTTGCCATTATCCTTCACATGGCACTGGTAGTCGGAGCGGCAAGCCCACCGTTTTCCATTGCAGTCCATCATGGACTCCATGCTCTGTACAAACCGAGCTGGCCGGTTTAGCTTGTAAGCCGCCAAAGAAGCAGCACAAGCCACCTGGTTTCCACGAGAAATTTTTGATCCATAAGCTCCGCCCAATCTGCGAACCTTCAGCAAAGAATTTCAATTCAAAAGTTAAATAAAAACTATCTGACTGGACCAAACCTACCTGCAACTGAACGTTATTCGCCTTCATCTGAAGGCAGTTAGCAATAACCGACTGCGTATGATCCATCCATTGAGTAGAAGAGTATACTTTGAGGCAATCCTCGAAAGGAATCGCCACCGTTGTTTGTGGCTCCATTGGAAATTGATACTGCAACCCCAACTCAAAAATTCCTCGTACTTCCGTATCCGGTTCGCCGGAAAACTGTACCTCCTTTACAGATGACATTGCAACGAGAGATATGCGAGATGATTCTAGAGTAGGAGATGCAAAAACATCCTTCAGACTGGGTAGCAACTTAAACTCAGGGCTGGGACTGCTGTAGCTGATCTCAACCAGCTTGGCAGCACGTTGTGCCTGATCTGCCGAAAGAGCCACAATGATCCCACAAGGCTGTTCACAAAAGCGAACCAATCCCGAACAGAAAATTTCTTCAACTTGAAACCCAAAACTGGGATCACTGAAGGTGTTCTTTCCAGGAATGTCCTTCGCAGAATAGAAAGCTATTACCCCTGGCTGCTTCAGAGCCTCCGATGCGTCGATCTGGTCGATGGTGGCTCCAACCTTGGTGGCACCAACAAAAGCACAGTGGACAGCGTTCGAAGTAGTCAACACATCATTCATGTAGGTGGCTTCCCCGGAGCACTGGATCATGCCCTCCACCTTCTCGACAGCCTGGGTGACGGGGTAACTCTTCTTCTGAGTCTGGAATTGCTGCAGTCCAGAGGACAGCGGACGCTGGAGGATGTGGCCTCCACTCTTGAACTTCTCGCTGACATTGGCAGTGGGAGCGTGTTTCAAGAGAAACTTGTAGAGAAGTCCACAAGCTAACTTGGTTCGGTAAGCGGGACTGGCGTCAGGTAGCACCTCATCAGGTTCGATCACTTCCCCGAGTTTCTTGAATGTCTGTTCCACCGAATTGTTTTCGTAGGGATTCTGATCCACCAGCAACTTTTCCACCCCCCAGGCGTGAACGAAATCGGGTCGTATTCCCCCGAAGCAGATGCGAGCGGATTTCACTTTGGAGTCAGTTTCCAATTCCAAGAGGAAAGCTGCGTTTACATAAGCGTGTGCGTTCTGGGCTCGTGGCATGATCTGAGGAAGGGGAAGCTTTCAATAAAAACACAAGTCTATAGAAGTGAGTCATTACCTTGTAAGAGTCGTAAATGTAAGTGTCCTTAGGATACGCCGGAAGGATAAAACTCTTGAGCACCAGTTTCCTGTCGTTTGAACTCAAATACTCCGAAAAAGTCAGTTTCTGATCTTCAGTGGCATTTTTGGCGGCCAAGACTTTTACGTCCAGAGCTTCAAAGGATATGAAGATATCCGATGGGAACTCGGGATGTTGCTTCTTTATCGATATGTTGCCAGCCAAAGTTCCCGACTAAAAGAAACACGATTTTATACAAAGGAAAGTCTAAAGTCTAACCAACAACTCACGTTGCGGACTGGTACGTTGGCAATCAAATCAATGTGGTTCCACAGGACTTCCAGGTACTCAAACCCTGGCTGCTTGGAGGCCGTTCGAATGATTTCCATAGTCTGAGTGAGACTGAGGTTAGCTCCAAGCTTAAGCTCATTCCCTTCGGTGCCGTGCTGATGCAGTTCCTCCACTCCATTCACATCGATAAAGTGCTTTATTTCGGATGATCTTCGGTAGACACCGTGAGCGGTGTTTCCTGCCACCAGCATGAACTCCTCGGAATCTTTGACCTTCTCAAGAGCCTCAAACAAGTCGGTGAGATTCTTGGGCCAATGCCACTGGCTTCCATCGTCGTAGACCAAGTTTGTTCGGGACTGATCGCATGTGCAGCTGCAGGCTAATCCCGTCTTGGGACAGTTGCGGGGCTTAAGATCCTCGATGTCGGCACACTCCTTGGGGATCTGGATGTTGCTGTCCACAGCGAAGGACTTCATGGCATCCAGAATGGGTCGGTAGCCAGTGCATCGGCAAATGTTGCCCCCGAAGGAGTTCTCCACTTCTGTCATGGACACTTTTCCGTCGTTTTGCTGCAGCAACCCATACATATTCATTACGAATCCCGGGGAGCAGAAGCCGCACTGGGTGCCGTTCATCTTGGCCAGTCTCTTCTGGATGGGATTGTAGCCCGAGCGCTGGTTGCCCAGTCCCTCGGCCGTGACGATCTCCAGATTGGCGCAGGTGTTGAGTAGAGTTAGGCACTAAAATGATGATATCTGTTAGTGGATTAGTTATTGCTTTACTTGATTGTCCTCCTACCGAGTTGACAGCCCAGCTGCGTTTTCCATCGCGCACCACACAGACACAGGCTCCACACCCTCCCTCCTGACACATGAACTTGGTGGCCGTAAGCTGGGCATGCTCCCGGATGAAGGTATTCAGGGTGATATCCGCCGGCAAAGAAGTCAGATTAACTTCAACAAATTATTTAGTTAGATATCGTTACAGTAAAATAATCACAAAAAAGGTGTTTTATGGATGTAAGAGCACATTATGTGTGGGTTATAGCGTGATCAAAATTGGCCATTTTTTTTAAGTTATTGTGTCTGTAATTTTTTTCACACAAAGCTTTTTCACCCGATAATATCACAGGCAAGTAATTGGCAAATTATTGTATATTTAAAGCTTTCACCTTAGTTGTAAAAATAATTTTGTATGCAAATAACTAAAATCACGATATTTTACAAAGCAACTGGTAACTATAGAAGATAACTTTTTTAAACTTTTAGGCAGAAGATTTTTTAAATGTAATAATTAATATTAAATTATTCAACATTTGTTTCCTAAATACGTTTTTTTATTTTACTCCTGTGAACCCACCTATATGATTTATGCCGTTGATGTTAATGCTTCCTGCCATTATCCCAACTTAAAGTTTGTTCTTAAAGTTCTTGAAAAATTATACTTTGATTCTAAATAAGCTCGGTTTCAAAAAGTATTTACTTTGCAAGGCGATCGAGTGAATTCCATGTGAATATATTAACAATTGTGTGAAATTATCCGCAGACCCCTCTATTTATCCGATTTTTGTTGGCATACATCGACTCTCGTGTTCCCCAGTTCCAGTTCACTGCTCTTCAAGAGCAATCTCAGTGGTGTCATTAGATCCTATTAAAACATAGTTTTCCAATACCTGATATATAAGTAAGCCCACAAACAAACAAAAACTTGAACTAGCTTTAATTTTATAAAATATAATATAATTATATTGATATTCATGGATATCTCAATTATTTAAAGTGTTAGCCCCTCCACCAAAAATGTTCATCAACATTAAAAATTACAAAGAAAATGATTCCACCTGGGTGCCAGCATTGAGAACTACAGTCTCCGGCGTGGTGGGTGCTCCCAGTCGCACCCATTCCCTCGGGAGTCCTGCGTCCTCTCTGGCCGACTGAATGGCATGCTGGATGGCGAACAGGACTCCAACTGCTAGGCACAGGGCAGGTTCTCCCGTGGCCTTGGATCGCATGAAACCCACTGGATTAGGACTCTTTTGCAGCAGCTCGATGCGGAAATCAATGGGAATGTCCTTGGCTCCTGGAGGATGGTAGTTCCAAGTGCGGTTTGTGAGGATCTGGCCCGTTTGGCGATCGTAGACGAGAAGTTCTGTGAGATAATAGCCCAGACCCATTACAAAAGCGCCCTCCACCTGGCCCACATCGATGTTCGGACTCAGGCTTTCGCCAGCATCCTCCAGGATGTCGACCCTTCGGATTAGGTGGTTCCCTGTCAGAATGTCCAGCTCCACCTCTGTAAGACTCAGGCCAAAGATGCTGTAACTGGGAATATCCCCCAACTTAAACGAATCTGTGGCAATCAGGAATATGGACTGTTGGTAAGCAGCTTGGAGCACCTGCACCCAGGTGGCCTGGGGCCCAAGCTGCTTCTTTACCGGAGCCAGTCGCTGGTTGAGGGTGTCGCAGGCCTTCCTCACAGCCAGTCCAATCATCTCGCTGCACATGGAGTTGGCAGTAACAAAGGCGTTGGCTCCGTTCACCGTGTTGCTAGTTTCCACTCGCACCTTATCTAAGGGAACACCGAGCACAAAGGCGGCTACCTGTGCCGCTTTCGTATTGATTCCCTGGCCAATCTCGATACCTCCGTGGGAAATCACAACGGATCCGTCTTCGTGGTAAATAGCAACCGTTGTGGGGTAAGAGAAGGAGAATGTCGTGTTCAGTGGAAACTCCATGAGAGCCAGTCCGATGCCCCGCTTTCGCCATCGATTTTTGGCGTTGAATAGGTTGATCTGGTTCCGGCGATTGCGGTACTCTGTGGAGGCCAAAAACCGAGGCAAAAGTGTCACCATTTTGTTACCAGGTCGAAGATTGACCAACCGAACATCGGCCGGATCCAGCTGGCAGGTGAAAGCAATGTGCTCCAAGGCGTTCTCCGTCATAGCAAGTCCTGAAAATTAAATATTTAAATGGATTCGTATTCAAATCTTTTATTTTTATGCAGGTGGTACTCTACCTTCTGCTGATCCTGGAGCCCTGCACCACGTGTTACTGGGAGCGTCCGTTATTATGGCACTTCCTTTTGCCCTAAAATTTGAATCTGTCAGGTTGTAAACGTTTTTAAGGATCGGAAGAGTCAGAAAGTCAACTACGTTCTCGTTCAGATTGCATCCCGCATCCTCGTAGTAATTGTGTGTCAGCATAATAATCGATCCATTAGCTCGAGCTCGGAATTCATAATCGGCGCGGCAAGCCCAGCGCTTCCCTAGGGTTTCCATCATGGACTCGATGGTCTGGACGAACCTGGTTGGTCTGTTTAGTTTGGAAGCCACCAGAGCAGCGGCACAGGCCACCACGTTACACCGCGTGACCTTTGCCCCGTAGGCACCCCCCACTCTGCGAACTTGTAGCTGAATTGAGTTGACGGTGACGCCCAACATTTTAGCAATAGCTCCCTGGGTACAGTCCATAAATTGCGAAGAAGAATAAACCTGAAGAATGTTGTCCACAGGAACCACAATAGTGGTCTGTGGTTCCATCGTGAAGTGGTACTGCGATTCCAGCTCCAGAATTCCTCTGCCCAGAACATCCCCTGGGGCTAGCAGAGGCGTCTTCATGGACTCAACCTCCTCCTTTTTTAAGCATACAATTCGTTCAGTTTGGTTGTCTTCGATGACTTGGTTCATGCTCATGTAGATCTTTTTTTGGTTGTTGGAATAGGTGATCTTTACCAGAGTTGATGCATAAACGGCGGTGTCATGGTTGAGCGCCGCAATCACTCCCACGGGCTGATCATAGAACTTGACCTGAGAAGCTGCAAAGAGTTCGTCCACTTCAGGGGTCAAAAGATTGGTGGTGACAGTGTTGTTCAATCCTGGAATATCCTTTGCTGAATAGAAGGCCACTACTCCCTTGCACTGGAGTGCCTCTGTGGGATCAATCTGCTCTATGGTGGCGCCCACTCGCTTTGCGGTCACAAATGCACAATGCACAGCGTTCGAGGTTGTTAGAAGGTCGTTCATGTACGAGGCCTCGCCAGAACACTGGATTAGACCCTCTAGTTTCTGGACGGGCTGGGTGACTGGATAGTTTTTCTTTATAGTCTCAAAGGTCTGGCTCCCCGAAGAAAGAGGCCTATCCAGCAGAAAACCCCCAGTGCGATATCGCTCCTGAATCCGCTCCTTAGGCGCGGTGGCCAGAAGAAACTTGTAGAAGAGCGAGCAGGCCAGCATATGACGATATTCAGGAGAAGCTTCCGGTGGTCGTTCCTCCGGCTGGATGCTGCCTGAAAGTTGCTGGAAGATCTGTGTAACAGTGGCAGGATCATAGAGATCTCTTCCCAGGAGCAGTTGCTCCAAACCGTCGTCATGAACGTAATCTGGTCGAATGTTTCCAAAACAAATTCGGGCAGATCGCACAATACTGCGCTGAATATCCTGCCATTCGATCAGGAATCCTGCATTCACGTAGGCGTGCACATTCTGGGCTCTAGCAAGGATCTATTCATAAAAGAAACTTTGTATTTAATAGAATTCCGTAATAAGGACTACAATACCTTGTAAGAACCGAAAAGATATCTGTTCTTGGGATACGTCTTGAGGATAAAGCCACCAAGAACTAGTTTGGGTGTGGTATCACTGATATAGGACAACAAGCTCATCACCCTCTGGGTACTTGGATTATCGTAGACCAAGACATTGACGTCCAAGGCCTCAAAGGTAATGAACACATCCGAGGGGAACTCCGTGTGTTGTTTTTTAATATTTATATTTCCGGCCAGAGTACCATTCTACAAAAAATATAACATTTTCGATTTGGATTAAATTTAAACTAAGATTTATTTAAGAAATATTTCTGAAATTAAAATTTTTTTTAAATAAAGAAGAACTAATCATAAAATCATTAACCTTTTGACTGAAATTTCTCTTCTCGCTACGTAAAAACTTTTTAGGTAAAGGAATAAATTAATTTAAATTGGCGCTAAATATTCTTGTGTATTGTGTGTTGTGTATTTCGTTTTTAAATTAATTTACTATCTCTGTTGCAAAAAATGTTGGAAAGTAAATTGGACTTCAAGCTCATTCTCTAAGAAGCAGTCGTTTGACTTTTATAGATAACGTACGAATATAAACAATATGTCTAACAATAGGTCTAAATGTCTATGTTAAGAACATCTTAAAGTAAGAAATTAAAAAAAAAAATTAAATAATGATTATAAGTAAACATTTTTTACAAAGGAAGAGCATTTAAAAGTGTCGACTACTAATTTCTTATCTTTGCGATTGTTAAAGCCAAACGAGTTTTTAGATTTATGGTGCGCTCTACTCACATTTCGGACTGGCACATTGGCAATCAGGTTGAAGTGCTGCCACAACTGGGTACAATACTCGAATCCGGGCCTCTTGGCTGCCAGGAGGAATAAGTCCATGGCATCGTTGAGCGAAAGATTTGCTCCTAAGAGCATGTGATCTGCTTCGATGCTGTACTGCTTGAGTTCCGGCACCTTGTTCACGTCGATAAAGTGTCTGATGTTCCTCGGTCTCCGGTAGACTCCATGAGCCGTGTTGCCCGCCACCAGAATGTACAGTTCTCCGCTTCCAACCTGGCTCAAGGCGGCAAAGAGCTCCACAAGGGACTTGGGCCAGTACCAGTGGCTACCACTTTGATCCCTCACGGGGGGCCTGGAGCAGCTACCCTTGCAAGCTTGTCCAGTTTTCAAGCAAAGGAGCTCGAAGGAGTCCTCGATGTCTATGCACTCGGGAGGAACGTCCACTGTGCTGTCCACAGCAAAAGACTTCATGGCGTCCAAGATAGGGCGATAGCCTGTGCAGCGGCATATGTTTCCTCCGAAGGCGTCCTCTACCTGTGCCATGCTCACCTGTCCCTGGTGCTGCTCCAGCAATCCGTACATGTTCATGACGAATCCCGGCGAGCAGTAACCACACTGGGTGCCATTCAGCTGGGCCAGGCGTTTCTGGATCGGATGGTAACCACTTAGCTGGTTGCCAAGTCCCTCATCAGTTATAATTTCCGCATCGTCACAGGTGTTTAGGAGAGTGAGGCACTGGAATTCCGAACAGAAATTGAAACAGTGAGTTAGCCATTAGAATCTGAGTGTCTATGCTAGCCACTTACGGAGTTTGCTGCCCGGGATTGTACCTCCTGGGTGACAGGGTGCCGCCGGCGGATGACGCAGACACAGGAGCCGCATCCACCCTCCAGGCACATGTATTTGGTGGCCGTTAGGTGGAGATGCTCCCGTAGGAAGGCATTGAGGGTGATGTCCGGGGCGAAGTCCGCGGCCTCCACCTCGTACGGGAATCCGTTGACTGTGAACTTGATGCTCATCGCTGAGGAGTCGACGGGCGAGTGTAACAACTCCACTTCGCGCCATTGAATGGAGTCTATTGCCAAGCGCTGCGAAACCTGATTATCCGTTAATTAGGCTAAACGGGTTCGAGCAGATAAAAGTGACATCAAGCGACCACTGCAAAAAATCTTCCAGTCGTAAAAAAGTTTAAGGAACTACTTATTTTTGAAAAATGTTGATACAAGATGAAAACGAGGGTACATTTAAATGGACAAGATTGAATAAAATAGTTTGATTTTCCCATTTTTTTTATCAGTCATAATTTTATATTTTTGATACCTCCACCGAGGGTTAATTAAATAAAAGAGGCTTATTTCTTGTTCTTTCAGTTCAACGAAAAGTCTTCGATCTGGCTTCCGGCATTAAGTACCACAGTCTCCGGTGTGGTGGGTGCTCCCAGTCGCACCCATTCCCTCGGAAGTCCTGCGTCCTTTCTGGCTGACTGAATGGCGTGCTGGATGGCGAACAGGACTCCAACTGCCAGGCACAAGGCAGGTTCTCCCGTGGCCTTGGATCGCATGAAACCCACTGGATTAGGACTCTTTTGCAGCAACTCGATGCGGAAATCAATGGGAATGTCCTTAGCACCTGGAGGATGGTAATTCCAAGTGCGGTTTGTGAGGATCTGGCCCGTCTGGCGATCGTAGACAAGAAGTTCGGTGAGATAGTAGCCCAGTCCCATCACAAAAGCGCCCTCCACCTGGCCCACATCGATGTTCGGACTCAGGCTTTCGCCAGCGTCCTCCAGGATGTCCACCCTTCGGATTAGGTGGTTTCCAGTCAGAATGTCCAGCTCCACTTCTGTGAGACTTAGGCCAAAGATGCTGTAACTGGGAATGTCACCCAGTTTATACGATTCTGTGGCAATCAGGAAAATGGACTGTAGGTAAGCAGCTTGGAGCACCTGCAACCAGGTGGCCTGGGGCCCAAGCTGCTTCTTTACCGGAGACAGTCGCTGGTTAAGAGTGTCGCAAGCTTTCCTCACGGCAATGCCAATCATCTCACTGGTCATTGAGTTGGCAGTTATCATGGTGTTGGCTCCATTCACGGTGTTGCTTCCTTCGACCCGCACCTTCTCCAGCGGCACTCCGAGCAGGAAAGCTGCCACCTGTGCTGCCTTTGTGTTGATTCCTTGGCCAATCTCTATGGCACCGTGGGAAATAACCACAGATCCGTCTTCGTGGTAAATGGCCACTGTGGCGGGGTAGGTAAAACCTATGGTTGTGTTGAGGGGAAAATTCATTATTGATAGTCCCAGGCCGCGTTTACGCCATCGATTCTGGGTGTTGAACAGGTTGACTTGGTCCCGTCGCTTTCGATACTCTGTGGAGGCCAGGAATCTAGGAAGGAGCTGGACCATTTTGCTCCCAGGCTGCAGGTTAACCAGACGAACATCAGCTGGATCCAATTGGCACTCGAAGGCAATGTGTTCCATGGCGTTCTCTGTCATGGCAATGCCTAAAAAACATATTTTAATATTGACGTTTAAAGTACCATGTTAAAGAGATTACCTTCCGCTGATCCTGGTGCCCGGCACCAAGTCGAACTGGGAGCGTCAGTGAGGATGGCACTGCCCTTGACCCTAAAGTTCGTATCAGCCAAATTGTAAACATTTCTGAGGGCCGGCAAGGTCAGGAAGTCTACTACGTTTTCGTTGAGACTGCAGCCGGCATCTTCGTAGTAGTCGTTGGTGAGTAGGATTATGGAGCCACTAGCGCGGGCACGAAACTCGTAGTCCGAGCGGCAGGCCCAGCGTTTACCGAGTGTCTCCATCATGGACTCGATGGTCTGGACGAATCTGACAGGCCTATTAAGTTTGGAGGCCACCAGAGCGGCGGCACAGGCCGCAAAGTTAGCCCGAGTTACCTTGGCTCCGTAACCTCCACCGACTCTCCTCACTTGCAGCTGAATAGAGTTTACAGTGACCCCCAGCATATGAGCAATGGCTCCCTGAGTGCCGTCCATCCATTGGGTGGAAGAGTACACTTGCAGAATGTTATCCAGGGGTACCACAATCGTCGTTTGGGGTTCCATGGAGAAGTGATATTGTGAGCCCATTTCAAAGATTCCCTTTCCCTGAACATCACCAGGAACTAGTGGCCCCAACGCCACAGGTTTCTGCCCCTCTTGCTTAAGGCACACAATTCTATCAGCTTGCTTTTCCGCCAGAACCTGGCTGATGCTGGAGTAGACCTTCTTCTGATCCCTAGCGTAGGTAACTTTCACCAGAGTGGCTGCATACGCCGCTGAGTCCTGGGTGAGTGCTGCTACCACCCCCAATGGCTGGTCGTAGTACTTGATCCTCCCGGCAGCAAATAGCTCTTCCGCTGCGGGTGTCTCCCTAGTCACCGTGACGATGCTATTTACCCCGGGAATGTCCTTGGCAGAATAAAAGCCCAATACGCCCTTGCACTGAAGTGCGGATCTAGGATCTATCATCTCTATAGTGGCCCCCACTCGCTTGGCGGTCACAAAAGCACAGAAGACGGAGCTCGAGGGGGTCAGGAGGTCGTTCACATACGAGGCCTCCCCAGAACATTGGATAAGTCCTTAAGGTAATAAGTAAGTATAAATCATACATGTTTAGTTTCGTAAAGCTTACCTTCTAGTTTTTGGACGGGCTGGGTGACTGGATAGTTTTTCTTTATAGTCTCAAAAGACTGGCTCCCCGAAGAAAGAGGCCTATCCAGCAGAAAACCCCCAGTGCGATATCGCTCCTGAACCCGCTCCTTAGGCGCGGTGGCCAGAAGAAACTTGTAGAAGAGCGAGCAGGCCAGCATATGACGATATTCAGGAGAAGCTTCCGGTGGTCGTTCCTCCGGCTGGATGCTGCCTGAAAGTTGCTGGAAGATCTGAGTAACAGTGGCAGGATCATAAAGATCTCTTCCCGGGAGCAGTTTCTCCAAACCGTTGTCATGAACGTAATCTGGTCGAATGTTTCCAAAACAAATTCGGGCAGATCGCACAATACTGCGCTGAATATCCTGCCATTCGATCAGGAATCCTGCATTCACGTAGGCGTGTACATTCTGGGCTCTGGCAAGGATCTGTTAATAAATTGTGGAAATGACTGACACATTTTAAAGAGCATTTCCTACCTTGTAGGAGTTAAAGATGTACTTATCCTGTGGATATGCTTTTAGGATGAATGCAGCTAGAACCAGTTTGGCGGATGTATCGTTAAGATACGACAGCAAGCCCATCATTCTTTGATTACTGGGATTATCGTAGACCAGAACCTTGACATCCAAAGCTTCGAAGGTAATGAACACATCCGATGGGAACTCCGGATGCTGTTTTTTTATGCTTATGTTTCCAGCCAATGTACCATTCTGGATTTTTTAAAATAACTTCAAAAATTACATTCTCAATTGAGAATTATTTGTAACCTATTATTTCTCTCTATGTAACTGGCGGAATTAGTAGTTGCACTATCTCTGCTTTTTATACCCTTGCAGAGGGTATTATAATTTTGGTCAAAAGTGTGCAACGCAGTGAAGGAGACATCTCCGACCCTATAAAGTATATATATTCTTGATCAGGATCACCTCCTGAGTTGATATGAGCATGTCCGTCTTTCCGTCTGTCCGTCTGTCTGTCTGTTTCTACGCGAACTAGTCTCTCAGTTTTAAAGCTATCGACTTGAAATTTTGCACACACCCTTCTTTTCTTTGCACGCAGTATATAAGTCGGAACGGCCCGGATCGGCCGACTATATCCTATAGCTGCCATATAACTGATTGATCGGAAATGGTATAACTTCGGTGTTTTTAGAGTTAGAGAGTTAATTTTAATTAATTAATTTTAATTAATTTTAATTAATTAATTTTTAATTTTGCACGAGCGCTATTTTTGGCAAAATAATACGACATGCCAAATTTCGTAAGGATCGGCCGACTATATTCTATAGCTGTCATATAACTGAACGATCGGAAATGACCCAACTTTCGTGTTTTTTGAAGATAGAAAGCTGGAACTTGGTACAGATTCTATTCTATATTCCGGTTGTAACTGCAAGGGTATATAAACTTCGGCTCCGCCCGAAGTTAGCTTTCCTTTCTTGTTGAAAGTAAAATGGATTTTAAAGTAATTATTCTCTTAGCTATAAAAAGTCGGTTAGTTATTATAAGAGTTTCATAAAAGGCTGTTCAATATGATTCATAACAAATATACGAGTATAAATTCATAGAAAATACAAAATTAATAAAAAAAATATCTTTTAAAATGTATTCCTGTCTTGTTTTAAGACTCAAGTCCATTTTTAAAATAAGGCAATGTAAAGAAAGAGCATACATCAATGTAGATTGCTAATTTCTTTGCGTGACGAACCGCCAAACGAGTTGGTGGATTTATGGTGCGCTCAACTTACATTTCGGACTGGCACATTGGCAATCAGGTTGAAGTGCTGCCACAACTGGACACAGTATTCGAATCCGGGCCTCTTGGCAGTCTCCAGGAACACCTGCATAGCATCATCGAGTGTAAGATTCGCTCCCAATAGCGTGTAATCAGCTTCGATGCGGTACTGCTTCAGCTCCGGCACCTTGTTCACGTCGATAAAGTGTCTGATGGTCCTCGGTCTCCGGTAGACTCCATGAGCCGTGTTGCCCGCCACCAGGATGTACAGTTCTCCGCTTCCAACCTGGCTCAAGGCGGCAAAGAGCTCCACAAGGGACTTGGGCCAGTACCAGTGGTTACCACTTTGATCCCTCACCGGGGGCCTGGAGCAGCTACCCTTGCAAGCTTGTCCAGTTTTCAAGCAGAGAAGCTCGAAGGAGTCCTCGATGTCTATGCACTCGGAAGGAACGTCCACTGTGCTGTCAACAGCAAAGGACTTCATGGCGTCCAGGATGGGGCGATAGCCTGTGCATCGGCAGATGTTTCCTCCGAAGGCGTCCTCCACCTGTGCCATGCTCACCTGTCCCTGGTGCTGCTCCAGCAGTCCGTACATGTTCATGACGAATCCCGGCGAGCAGTAACCACACTGGGTGCCATTCAGCTGGGCCAGGCGTTTCTGGATCGGATGGTAACCACTTAGCTGGTTGCCAAGTCCCTCATCAGTTATAATTTCCGCATCGTCACAGGTGTTTAGGAGAGTGAGGCACTGGAATTCCGAACAGAAATTGAAACAGTGAGTTAGCCATTAGAATCTGAGTGTCTATGCTAGCCACTTACGGAGTTTGCTGCCCGGGATTGTACCTCCTGGGTGACAGGGTGCCGCCGGCGGATGACGCAGACACAGGAGCCGCATCCACCCTCCAGGCACATGTATTTTGTGGCCGTCAGGTGGAGATGCTCCCGTAGGAAGGCATTGAGGGTGATATCCGGGGCAAAGTCCGTGGCCTCCACCTCGTACGGGAATCCGTTGACTGTGAACTTGATGCTCATCGCTGCAGAGTCGTCGGGTGAATGGAGCACTTTCGGGCATTTACTCCTATTGCAGAGCTGCGAAACCTGAATACTACAAAATTGGGCTGAACGGGTTTAGACAATCAAAGTGCCAAGAAAGCAAAACGCAAATAGTGAATTAATATTGGCTTAATTGCACTTTCTGCTTTCCAAAGCTCTCTTTAAGTTGTGAACAAAATGCAATATGCCAAAATTATTCAATTCGAAAATAATCGCATTAATACGATTGTTATGAAATTTGGGGGGTAACTTAAAATGTAAATGTTATGTGCATTAAATTAATGCCATTATTTGAAAAAAAACAATGTAAATTTTCATAAGCAGTTTGCGTGATTTTTCCAAAAACAAAAAATTTATTTTATTTATTCATGTTTATGGGTATTATATATAGTATATTATATACATTTATAAAAGTGTAAAAATATAAAAAAAGAAAAGCATAATGCCCCACCAGAAAATAATCTTTATTTAAGCCTAAAAGTTGCCACCTCATGGCCCGCATTTAGCACCAAAGTTTCGGGAGTGGTAGGAGCTCCCAGACGCACCCACTCCCTCGGAAGTCCCGCATCCTGGCGTGCGGACTGCAGGGCCTGCTGTAGAGCAAAGACCACACTCACGGCCAGGCAGCAAGGAGGTTCTCCAGTCGCCTTCGATCGCATGAACCCTGCCCCATTTGGATTGGGCTTCTGGATAAGCTCAATGCGGAAGTCGATGGGTATGTCCTTGGCGCCCGGCGGCTTGTAATTCCAGGTGCGGTTGGTGAGCAGACGACCCGTTTCGCGATCATAGACCAGCTGCTCACTTAGCCAGTAGCCCAAGCACATGACGAAGGCTCCCTCGACCTGGCCCACATCAATGTACGGACTCAGACTTTCACCAGCATCCTCCAAAATGTCAACCCGTGTGATCTGATTATTTCCTGTGAGAACATCCAGTTCTATTTCCGTAAGGGCCAGCCCGTAAACATGGTAGTTCTGCATGTCGCCTTCCTTGTAGTGATCCGAAGCAATAAGATTGATGGATTTTGCGTATGCTGCTTCTACGGTCTCCACCCAACTGGCACCGTCTTTCTTCACCGCCTTTAAACGATCATTGAGTGTATCACAGGCTTTTCGAACCGCAAAGCAAAGACTCTCGCTGCCCACAGCCCCTCCAGTGACCATACAATTGGCCCCATTGATGGTGTCCGAGGACTCCACTTTGACAAAGCTCAGATCGATGCCCAAAGTGAAGGCAGCCACTTGAGCTACCTTAGTATTCATGCCTGAAGGAAAATACAAGTTCAGAAAAGCTTTAATCCGTAATGTGAAGTACGTACCTTGTCCCATTTCGATGCCTCCATGGGTGACCACAACGGTTCCGTCCACATGATAAATGGCGACTGTAGCCGGGTACTGCCCAAAGTAGAAGATGGGATAGTCCATTACCGCCAATCCGAGGCCTCGCTTTGTCCAGCGATTTTTGGAATTGTGCGTCTCTATCTGCTGCTTTCTCTTGTAATACTCCCTGGACTGAAGGAATTGGGGCAGCAGATCGGTCATTTTATTCCCGGCAGCTATGTTTAGAAGTCGCACTTCGGCTGGGTCTTTCTGCACCTCAAATGCTACGTGCTCGACGATGTTCTCCATCATGGCGATTCCCTCTACCGACCCCGGAGCCCGACACCAGGTGGAACTGGGGGCATCTGTGAGCACCGCATTGCCATTGATCTTGAAGTTCTCACCCGTAAATTCGTAGCAGTTAGCGGCGGTGAAGGTCGAGTGGCCATCAATGGGGCTCTCGTTAAGATTCCAGCCTGCGTCTTCGTAAAAATCGTTGGACATTCCGACAATCTTGCCATTCGATTTAACATGACACTGATAATCCGAACGGCAGGCCCACCGCTTTCCATTGCAGTCCATCATGGACTCTATTGTTTGCACAAAGCGGGCAGGACGATTGAGCTTGTAAGCCGCCAAGGCTGCGGCACAGGCCACCTGGTTGCCACGGGTAATCTTAGAGCCGTATCCTCCGCCCAATCTACGAACCTTAAGCGCGAAAATATCTGTAAGCCATGAGAGTTAAAGTCTTTTAAGAGACTTACCTGTAGCTGGACATCCTTGGCCTTCACCTGGATCATGTGAGCAATGACTGACTGGGTGAGGTCCATCCATTGGGTAGCCGAGAAGACTTTTAGGCCATCCTCGAAGGGAATAGCCACTGTTGTGTGGGGTTCCATGGTGAAGTGATACTGCAATCCCATCTGAAAAATGCCTCGAACCTCCTTATCAGGCTGATCCGAAAACTTGATCTTTTTATTTTTGACTCAGAAACAGCCACAATTTGGGAGGGATCAGGAGTGGAAGATGCAAACACATCCGTCAAGCTCGGCAACAACTTGAAGTCGGGGCTGGGATTACTGTAGCTTATTTTCACCAGCTTGGCTGCTCGATGGGCTTGATCGGCCGTGAGAGCCACAACAACTCCAGCGGGCTGCTCCGAATGACGAACTAGTCCCGAGCAAAAGATCTCCTCAGCCACAAACCCGAAACTGGGCTCCACAAAGGTATTCGTTCCAGGAATGTCCTTTGCAGAATAGAAAACTATTACTCCTGGCTGCTTTAGAGCCTCCGATGCGTCGATCTGGTCGATGGTGGCTCCCACCTTGGTGGCACCAACAAAAGCACAGTGGACAGCGTTCGAAGTAGTCAACACATCATTCATGTAGGTGGCTTCCCCGGAGCACTGGATCATTCCCTCCACCTTCTCGACAGCCTGGGTGACGGGGTAACTCTTTTTCTGAGTCTGGAACTGCTGTAGTCCAGAGGACAGCGGACGCTGGAGGATCTGGCCTCCACTCTTAAACTTCTCGCTGACATTGGCCGTGGGAGTCGGTTAGTTATTATAAGAGTTTCATAAAAGGCTGTTCAATATGATTCATAACAAATATACGAGTATAAATTCATAGAAAATACAAAATTAATAAAAAAAATATCTTTTAAAATGTATTCCTGTCTTGTTTTAAGACTCAAGTCCATTTTTAAAATAAGGCAATGTAAAGAAAGAGCATACATCAATGTAGATTGCTAATTTCTTTGCGTGACGAACCGCCAAACGAGTTGGTGGATTTATGGTGCGCTCAACTTACATTTCGGACTGGCACATTGGCAATCAGGTTGAAGTGCTGCCACAACTGGACACAGTATTCGAATCCGGGCCTCTTGGCAGTCTCCAGGAACACCTGCATAGCATCATCGAGTGTAAGATTCGCTCCCAATAGCGTGTAATCAGCTTCGATGCGGTACTGCTTCAGCTCCGGCACCTTGTTCACGTCGATAAAGTGTCTGATGGTCCTCGGTCTCCGGTAGACTCCATGAGCCGTGTTGCCCGCCACCAGGATGTACAGTTCTCCGCTTCCAACCTGGCTCAAGGCGGCAAAGAGCTCCACAAGGGACTTGGGCCAGTACCAGTGGTTACCACTTTGATCCCTCACCGGGGGCCTGGAGCAGCTACCCTTGCAAGCTTGTCCAGTTTTCAAGCAGAGAAGCTCGAAGGAGTCCTCGATGTCTATGCACTCGGAAGGAACGTCCACTGTGCTGTCAACAGCAAAGGACTTCATGGCGTCCAGGATGGGGCGATAGCCTGTGCATCGGCAGATGTTTCCTCCGAAGGCGTCCTCCACCTGTGCCATGCTCACCTGTCCCTGGTGCTGCTCCAGCAGTCCGTACATGTTCATGACGAATCCCGGCGAGCAGTAACCACACTGGGTGCCATTCAGCTGGGCCAGGCGTTTCTGGATCGGATGGTAACCACTTAGCTGGTTGCCAAGTCCCTCATCAGTTATAATTTCCGCATCGTCACAGGTGTTTAGGAGAGTGAGGCACTGGAATTCCGAACAGAAATTGAAACAGTGAGTTAGCCATTAGAATCTGAGTGTCTATGCTAGCCACTTACGGAGTTTGCTGCCCGGGATTGTACCTCCTGGGTGACAGGGTGCCGCCGGCGGATGACGCAGACACAGGAGCCGCATCCACCCTCCAGGCACATGTATTTTGTGGCCGTCAGGTGGAGATGCTCCCGTAGGAAGGCATTGAGGGTGATATCCGGGGCAAAGTCCGTGGCCTCCACCTCGTACGGGAATCCGTTGACTGTGAACTTGATGCTCATCGCTGCAGAGTCGTCGGGTGAATGGAGCACTTTCGGGCATTTACTCCTATTGCAGAGCTGCGAAACCTGAATACTACAAAATTGGGCTGAACGGGTTTAGACAATCAAAGTGCCAAGAAAGCAAAACGCAAATAGTGAATTAATATTGGCTTAATTGCACTTTCTGCTTTCCAAAGCTCTCTTTAAGTTGTGAACAAAATGCAATATGCCAAAATTATTCAATTCGAAAATAATCGCATTAATACGATTGTTATGAAATTTGGGGGGTAACTTAAAATGTAAATGTTATGTGCATTAAATTAATGCCATTATTTGAAAAAAACAATGTAAATTTTCATAAGCAGTTTGCGTGATTTTTCCAAAAACAAAAAATTTATTTTATTTATTCATGTTTATGGGTATTATATATAGTATATTATATACATTTATAAAAGTGTAAAAATATAAAAAAAGAAAAGCATAATGCCCCACCAGAAAATAATCTTTATTTAAGCCTAAAAGTTGCCACCTCATGGCCCGCATTTAGCACCAAAGTTTCGGGAGTGGTAGGAGCTCCCAGACGCACCCACTCCCTCGGAAGTCCCGCATCCTGGCGTGCGGACTGCAGGGCCTGCTGTAGAGCAAAGACCACACTCACGGCCAGGCAGCAAGGAGGTTCTCCAGTCGCCTTCGATCGCATGAACCCTGCCCCATTTGGATTGGGCTTCTGGATAAGCTCAATGCGGAAGTCGATGGGTATGTCCTTGGCGCCCGGCGGCTTGTAATTCCAGGTGCGGTTGGTGAGCAGACGACCCGTTTCGCGATCATAGACCAGCTGCTCACTTAGCCAGTAGCCCAAGCACATGACGAAGGCTCCCTCGACCTGGCCCACATCAATGTACGGACTCAGACTTTCACCAGCATCCTCCAAAATGTCAACCCGTGTGATCTGATTATTTCCTGTGAGAACATCCAGTTCTATTTCCGTAAGGGCCAGCCCGTAAACATGGTAGTTCTGCATGTCGCCTTCCTTGTAGTGATCCGAAGCAATAAGATTGATGGATTTTGCGTATGCTGCTTCTACGGTCTCCACCCAACTGGCACCGTCTTTCTTCACCGCCTTTAAACGATCATTGAGTGTATCACAGGCTTTTCGAACCGCAAAGCAAAGACTCTCGCTGCCCACAGCCCCTCCAGTGACCATACAATTGGCCCCATTGATGGTGTCCGAGGACTCCACTTTGACAAAGCTCAGATCGATGCCCAAAGTGAAGGCAGCCACTTGAGCTACCTTAGTATTCATGCCTGAAGGAAAATACAAGTTCAGAAAAGCTTTAATCCGTAATGTGAAGTACGTACCTTGTCCCATTTCGATGCCTCCATGGGTGACCACAACGGTTCCGTCCACATGATAAATGGCGACTGTAGCCGGGTACTGCCCAAAGTAGAAGATGGGATAGTCCATTACCGCCAATCCGAGGCCTCGCTTTGTCCAGCGATTTTTGGAATTGTGCGTCTCTATCTGCTGCTTTCTCTTGTAATACTCCCTGGACTGAAGGAATTGGGGCAGCAGATCGGTCATTTTATTCCCGGCAGCTATGTTTAGAAGTCGCACTTCGGCTGGGTCTTTCTGCACCTCAAATGCTACGTGCTCGACGATGTTCTCCATCATGGCGATTCCCTCTACCGACCCCGGAGCCCGACACCAGGTGGAACTGGGGGCATCTGTGAGCACCGCATTGCCATTGATCTTGAAGTTCTCACCCGTAAATTCGTAGCAGTTAGCGGCGGTGAAGGTCGAGTGGCCATCAATGGGGCTCTCGTTAAGATTCCAGCCTGCGTCTTCGTAAAAATCGTTGGACATTCCGACAATCTTGCCATTCGATTTAACATGACACTGATAATCCGAACGGCAGGCCCACCGCTTTCCATTGCAGTCCATCATGGACTCTATTGTTTGCACAAAGCGGGCAGGACGATTGAGCTTGTAAGCCGCCAAGGCTGCGGCACAGGCCACCTGGTTGCCACGGGTAATCTTAGAGCCGTATCCTCCGCCCAATCTACGAACCTTAAGCGCGAAAATATCTGTAAGCCATGAGAGTTAAAGTCTTTTAAGAGACTTACCTGTAGCTGGACATCCTTGGCCTTCACCTGGATCATGTGAGCAATGACTGACTGGGTGAGGTCCATCCATTGGGTAGCCGAGAAGACTTTTAGGCCATCCTCGAAGGGAATAGCCACTGTTGTGTGGGGTTCCATGGTGAAGTGATACTGCAATCCCATCTGAAAAATGCCTCGAACCTCCTTATCAGGCTGATCCGAAAACTTGATCTTTTTTATTTTTGACTCAGAAACAGCCACAATTCGGGAGGGATCAGGAGTGGAAGATGCAAACACATCCGTCAAGCTCGGCAACAACTTGAAGTCGGGGCTGGGATTACTGTAGCTTATTTTCACCAGCTTGGCTGCTCGATGGGCTTGATCGGCCGTGAGAGCCACAACAACTCCAGCGGGCTGCTCCGAATGACGAACTAGTCCCGAGCAAAAGATCTCCTCAGCCACAAACCCGAAACTGGGCTCCACAAAGGTATTCGTTCCAGGAATGTCCTTTGCAGAATAGAAAACTATTACTCCTGGCTGCTTTAGAGCCTCCGATGCGTCGATCTGGTCGATGGTGGCTCCCACCTTGGTGGCACCAACAAAAGCACAGTGGACAGCGTTCGAAGTAGTCAACACATCATTCATGTAGGTGGCTTCCCCGGAGCACTGGATCATTCCCTCCACCTTCTCGACAGCCTGGGTGACGGGGTAACTCTCTTTTCTGAGTCTGGAACTGCTGTAGTCCAGAGGACAGCGGACGCTGGAGGATCTGGCCTCCACTCTTAAACTTCTCGCTGACATTGGCCGTGGGAGCGTGTTTCAAGAGAAACTTGTAGAGAAGTCCACAGGCTAACTTGGTTCGGTAAGCGGGACTGGCGTCAGGTAGCACTTCATCAGATTCGATCACTTCCCCGAGTTTCTTGAATGTCTGTTCCACCGAATTGTTTTCGTAGGGATTCTGACCCACCAGCAACTTCTCCACCCCCGAGGCGTGAACGAAATCGGGTCGGATTCCTCCGAAGCAGATGCGGGCGGATTTCACTTTGGAGTCAGTTTCCAATTCCAAGAGGAAAGCTGCGTTTACATAAGCGTGTGCGTTCTGGGCTCGTGGCATGATCTAAGGAAAGGGAAGCTTTCAATAAAAATACAAGTCTATAGAAGTGAGTTCGTACCTTGTAAGAGTCGTAGATGTAAGTGTCCTTAGGATAAGCCGGAAGGATAAAACTCTTGAGCACCAGCTTTCTGTCGTTTAAACTCAAATACTCCGACAAAGTCAGTTTCTGATCTTCAGTGGCATTTTTGGCGGCCAAGACTTTTACGTCGAGAGCTTCAAAGGATATGAAGATATCCGATGGGAACTCAGGATGTTGCTTTTTTATCGAGATGTTGCCAGCCAAAGTTCCCGACTAAAAGAAACACGATTTTATACAAAGGAAAGTCTAAAGTCTAACCAACAACTCACGTTGCGGACTGGTACGTTGGCAATCAAATCAATGTGATTCCAGAGGACTTCCAGGTACTCAAATCCTGGCTGTTTCGTGGCCGTCCGAATGATTTCCATAGTCTGAGTGAGACTGAGGTTAGCTCCAAGCATAAGCTCATTCCCTTCGATGCCGTGCTGATGCAGTTCCTCCACTCCATTCACATCGATAAAGTGCTTTATTTCGGATGATCTTCGGTAGACACCGTGAGCGGTGTTTCCTGCCACCAGCATGAACTCCTCGGAATCCTTGACCTTCTCAAGAGCCTCGAACAAGTCGGTGAGATTCTTGGGCCAATGCCACTGGCTTCCATCGTCGTAGACCAAGTTGGTTCGGGACTGATCGCAGGTGCCGCTGCAGGCTAATCCCGTCTTGGGACAGTTGCGGGGCTTAAGATCCTCGATGTCGGCACACTCCTTGGGGACCTGGATGTTGCTGTCCACAGCGAAGGACTTCATGGCATCCAGAATGGGTCGGTAGCCAGTGCACCGGCATATGTTGCCCCCGAAGGAGTTCTCCACTTCTGTCATGGACACTTTTCCGTCGTTTTGCTGCAGCAACCCATACATATTCATTACGAATCCCGGGGAGCAGAAGCCGCACTGGGTGCCGTTCATCTTGGCCAGTCTCTTCTGGATGGGATTGTAACCCGTGCGCAGGTTGCCCAACCCCTCGGCCGTGACGATCTCCAGATTGGCGCAGGTGTTGAGTAGAGTGAGGCACTAAAATTATGATATCGGTTAGTTGATTAGTTATTGCTTTACTTGGATGTCCTCCTACCGAGTTCACAGCCCAGCTACGTTTTCCATCGCGCACCACACAGACACAAGCTCCACACCCTCCCTCCTGACACATGAACTTGGTGGCCGTAAGCTGGGCATGCTCCCGGATGAAGGTATTCAGGGTGATATCCGGCGGCAGGTTGGTGAGATTCACTGCAAAGGCCAAGAGGATTCATTAGCATCGCATGCATAAAAGTTGCCAAGTCACAGAATCTTAAGTACGAGCTTGAAAACCAGTCGGACAATAAACAATGTGTGTACTATATGCACTCTAATTTGTTTAATCAAAATCTGGCTGATTGTAGTCATTGATTTTTAAATTTATGGAATTATTTTAGTCGAGATATGTACATATATATTTATGAAGCTAGCGGAACAAACGACCTTAGGGCTTCGTTTGAAGAACCATTACTCTTATCTTAGCCACGAATAGGCAAACATAAGCATGTAGTATGTGAAGTGTAGAAAATAAGGCCAATCCAAATAATCAGTAACATTATCACTAAAGTAACTCTTTGGCTTTTATCGATGTTTTGTTATTATTTACTTAAGAAATCTCAGACACTGGTCTGCTAAGACACTTACGGAAAAAAAATCAGTGGATATGGAAAAGCTTTTTCGATTTCAAATCAGTGTTTAAATAAATTCACGTTTCTTTTGATACTCACCCGTATATGGCAATCCATTGATTGTAAATTTTGTAGTCATTCTGATTAGTTTATGCAATAAACCTTGTTGTTGTGCTCCTCGGCTCTAACAAAGCAACAAATAACTTAAATGTCAGATGCTGAAATATACTCTATAAATAATTCAATTAGTGTAAGACGGTTGCTTCTGTTTTCTATTATATGTAGCCTGCTGGGAGCTATTGCCTCCGGTTGCTCCGAGTTTCTCTGGCCAACTGATCGAGGAATCAACAAGTTCGAGACTTGGGCCCCATTCTCCGATATTTTTTTGCGCAATTTTCTTGCCCCAAACACAACACAAGTCGCTTTCGTGCACATGCGCGGACCGAGTAAACAGAATTTTGAATAGATTTTCGTGCTTGGCGATCGACGTTAATTGCAGATAGTCAAGCTTTTGCTCCAAGCTGATTGCAAGCTGTTAAAAAACTCGCAAAAAATAAATAAAAACTGCCGGCGCCGAGTTTTCGGTTTGCTTGTTGCTTTAGTTCCCCCTTCATTCGACGATTTTTAGGCAGCTGCGAAGTAGTCACGATATATCCGAGAATTGGGGTAGAAAAGTAAAAATAAAAAATATATTTTTTTTCTATAGTAAAATAATAAATACCCTATAAAGTATGGTCCAGACTATGTTTATGCTTTAAGCTAAAATATGTCTGATTAAAAGGTGGTCCGTATAATATATTAATATAGCAGATTTTAGTACAGATTTTATCACCTATGTGCACTTTTCTTTGGAAGAGTAAAAATCAAAATATTAACGCTGACATACAAAAAACTATCAACAGTACCAGAGCTTTGTTTAAATTCTCCATTCAGTTTTACATGCAAATTATTTCGACTAGGCTTTGAAATGAAATTAACTTTTGTGTTTGTACGCCGATTTTAATGACTTTTTAGTATAGAGAGTGATGATAATCTGCCTTTCAATTTTCATTTAAGCTCCATAGAAAATTACAAAAATAAAAAAAATTCTGGTCAGGTTATGAGTAAGCTAAAAATAACAAAAAAAGAGAAAAAGCCGGCCGGCGTAAATAAAAAACAACTCTCTTTTTACGCAACAAAAAATGTGTTCGCTCTTAGCTTTTAACAAATAAACATTTTAAAAGCTTTGACTTTAAAATAACTCAAAGCAAAAACTAGAATATAAAGCTTTTGAGTGATTTTAATTTGAGAACAAAATATTTTTAGGTTGGAGTGATTTTTACAAATATGTATTATATTTTTTAATATTTGTGCAGAGTGCATTTCTGTAAATATTTTATGAATTTATTTCAGTTTGAATTCCGCCACTTGGTGGCCCGAATTAAGGAGGAGAGTCTCCGGGGTTGTGGGAGCCCCAAGGCGCAGCCACTCTCTCGGAAGCCCTGCATCCTGGCGGGCGGATTGCAGGGCCTGCTGCAGGGCGAATATCACGCTGACTGCCAAACAGCAAGGCGGCTCCCCCGTGGCCTTCGAGCGCATAAATCCCGCCCCACTGGGACGTGGATTGTGCACCAGCTCCACCCGAAAGTCGATGGGTATGTCCTTGGCCCCCAAAGGCTTGTAGTTCCAGGTGCGGTTGGTCAGCAGACGTCCATTGTCGCCCTCGTAGATAAGCAGTTCGCTGAGCCAGTAGCCAAGGCCCATAACGAAGGCGCCCTCCACTTGCCCCACGTCTATCCAAGGGCTCAGGCTCTCGCCCGCGTCTTCCAGAAGGTCCACACGTTTGATTATAATGTTGCCCGTAAGAACATCCATCTCAACTTCGGAGAGGGCCAGTCCGAGGACATGGTAGTTCTGCATGTCTCCGGTCTTGTAGTGATCCGAGGCAATGAGATTGATGGACTGGGCGTTGGCAGATTCCACAGTCTCCACCCAGGAGGCCTTCGGTTTCCTCACAGGCTTTAGTCGAGCATTGAGAGTCTCGCAAATCTTTCGCACCGCAAAGCAAACGCTCTCGCTTCCGATGGCATATCCTGTAACCATGGAGTTGGCTCCGTTGATGGTGTCCGATGACTCCACCTTTATGTAGCTCAGGTCGATGCCCAAGGTGTAGGCTGCCACCTGGGCCACCTTTGTGTTCATGCCTGAAGGATAATACATAATTAGAAAAGTATAAAGTAAGAATTATAAGTACCTTGTCCCATTTCGATGCCTCCATGGGTGACCACAACAGTTCCATCCACATGGTAAATAGCCACTGTCGCCGGAAACTGGCCAATGTAGATTATGGGAAAGTTCATTACGGATAACCCCAGTCCTCGCTTCTTCCATCGGTTGTTGGAGTTATGGGTCTCGATCTCCTTCTTCCGGGAATAGTACTCCCTCGTATTGAGGAACTCTGGAAGCAGAGTTGCCATCTTACTCTTCTTGCTTATGTTTGCCAGTCGCACATCTGCCGGGTCCTTCTGGATTTCAAAAGCCACATGCTCGATGATGTTCTCCATCATGGCGATGCCCTCAACGGATCCCGGAGCACGGCACCAGGTGGAACTGGGGGCGTCGGTAAGCACCGCGTGGCCACTGAGCTTGAAGTTGCTCTCCGTGAACTCATAACAATTGGCTGCAGTGAAGGTGGAGTGTCCTTCGACAGGACTTTCGTTGGTATTCCAGCCTGCGTCTTCGTAGAAATCGTTGGACAAGCCGACGATTCTGCCATTCGATTTTACATGGCACTGGTACTCCGAGCGACATGCCCACCTTTTTCCATTGCAGTCCATCATGGACTCGATGGTCTGGACAAATCGGACTGGGCGATTGAGCTTGTAAGCCGCCAAGGCTGCGGCACAGGCCACCTGGTTGCCGCGGGAAATCTTAGAGCCATATCCTCCGCCCAGTCTGCGAACCTGAAGCTGCACATCCTTGGCCTTTATTTGGAGCGTGTGTGCGATTGCCGACTGGGTGTGATCCATCCACTGGGTGGCCGAAAAGACCCGTAGTCCGTCTTCGAATGGAATAACCACTGTGGTCTGCGGTTCCATTGTGAAGTGATATTGCAGACCCATCTCAAAGATGCCGCGCACCTCCACATCTGGCTTATCGGAGAACTTGACGTCATTTAGTTTCGAAACAGCCAGTGGTACAATCCGTGAGGTATCCAGGGTGGGAGATGAGAACACGTGCTTTAAACTTGGTAGCAATTGGAAATCAGCCCGCGGATTACTGTAGTTGACATTCACGAACTTGACAGCTCTTTGAGCCTGATCAGCCGTCAGGGCCACGATCATGCCCACCGGTTGCTCTGAGTGACGCACCAGGCCCGAGCAGAAGATCTCCTCTGCCTGGTAGCCGAAACTGGGCTCGCAGAAGGTGTTGGTTCCAGGAATGTCCTTTGCGGTGTAGAAAGCCACAACACCAGGTTGCTGGAGAGCCTCGGACGCATCAATCTGGTCAATGGTGGCCCCCACCTTTGTGGCGCCCACAAAGGCGCAATATACAGAGTTGGAAGTGGTCAGCGTATCATTCATGTAAGTAGCTTCTCCGGAGCACTGGATCATCCCCTCCAACTTTTGCACTGCCTGGGTAACTGGATAGTTTTGCTTTTGGGTTTGGAAGAGCTGCAAGCCAGAGGAGAGCGGCCTCTGAAGGATCTGCCCGCCACTCTTGAACTTCTCGCTGACCTCCGCATCCGGAGCATGTTTCAAGAGAAACTTGTAGAGGAGTCCACAGGCCAACTTGGAGCGGTATGCTGGACTGGCATCGGGCAGCACTTCGTCCGGCTTGATCAGGCCCTCCAGTTTGTTGAATATCTGCTCTATCAGACCGCTCTCAAAGGGCTTGTGACCTACCATTAGTTTCTCTATGGGTGTGGCATGGGTAAAATCAGGACGAATGCCTCCGAAACAAATTCTAGCTGATTCCACAGTAGAATCCGATTCCAATTCCAGGAGAAAGGCTGCATTGACATAAGCATGGGCGTTCTGGGCACGTGGCATGATCTAGACACGAATTCTAAATAAATAAAAGGAATATTATAATCTCTTTGGACTTAATACCTTATATGAGTCATATATGAATTTATCCTTGGGATAAGCTGGTAGATGAAATGCCTTCAGCACCAGTTTTCGGTTTGGATCACTCAAAAACTCTTCAAGGGACATTTCTAGTTCATCAGTGGCGTTTTCCATTACCAATACTTTAATATCCAATGCCTCGAACGAAATAAAGATGTCCGAAGGAAACTCGGGATGCTGTTTCTTTGTGGCAATGTTTCCTGCCAAAGTACCAGACTGAAATGGGAAATATTAGTAGGATAAGGGAGTAACTTGAAAGACTTACATTTCTCACTGGGACATTGGCCACCAAATCGATGTGATTCCAAAGAACTTCAAGATACTCGAAGCCTGGTTGCTTGGAAGTGCTCTGAAGAACATCCATGGTCTGGGTCAGACTCATATTAGCTCCCAGTTTCAAATGCTGAGAATCGGAGCTGTGCTGATGCAGTTCCTCCAGGCCACTGACATCTATAAAGTGCTTGATATCAGGGGATCTTCGGTAGACACCGTGAGCTGTGTTTCCCGCCACCAGCATGAACTCATCCGCATCCTCAATGTTCTCCAGAGCATCAAACAATTCGATTAGGGTTTTCGGCCAGTACCACTGGTAGCCTTCCTCGTAAACGAGCTTAGATCGCTGGCAACCGCCCCTGCAAGTTTTACCCGATCGCGGACAATTCCTTGGCTTTAGATTCAGATCTTCAATGTCCGCACATTCGGCTGGAACCTCAATGTCGCTGTCCACCGCGAAAGATTTCATGGCGTCCAGAATGGGTCGGTAGCCCGTGCACCGGCAGATGTTGCCTCCGAAAGAGTTCTCCACCTCTGACATGGTCACTCTCCCGCCGTGCTGCTCCAACAGCCCATACATGTTCATCACGAATCCGGGCGAGCAATAACCGCACTGGGTGCCATTCATCTTGGCCAGCCGCTTCTGAATTGGATGGTAGCCGCTGTTCTGGTTTCCCAGACCCTCGCAGGTAACGATCTCCAGCTGGGAGCAGGTATTCAGCAGCTTGAGGCACTGCAATCGGGAATGGGATAAGTGGGTCGTTAGTGCTGCAGAATGACTTGGCTGATCTCTGACCCACTGAATTAACGGTCCAGGAGCTCTTGCCATCGCTCACAGTGCAGACACAGGCACCGCATCCTCCCTCCAGGCACATGAACTTGGTGGCCGTCAGTTGGGCGTGCTCCCGGATGAAGGTATTCAGGGTGATGTCCGGCGGGAGGTCAGTCAAGTTAACTGGAAAGATTTACTTATGAATTTGTTTATTTTGATTTTTTTCCCCCCTTAATCCTTACCCGTATAAGGCTGCCCGTTAATAGTAAAGGTGGTGGACATTTTTATAAATTTATTTATTTTTTTACCACAGAGTGTTGGGGAGGTCTAAGCTCAACTGGTGCTAACTGAATCAAGAGCGTCTAATATAAACCCTAATTTAAATTAATTTAGTTAAATGGTTTTTAACAAAGCATGATTTTGGAAAATGCAAATAACTTACAAATTATTAATAACTGGTTTATTGTTGCAGAAAAGCTTTGTTAATTCCGTTTAACAAAATTGTGCTGCCATTGATATTTATTGTGTTGCACAAATAAAGAGCCCATTGTTTGGCAAACCGATTAGCGAAACTAATAGCCATTTCCACGAAGAGCTGCAGAGGATTTAATCGGTTTTTGGATGTTTAAAATACACCTTATTATTAAGCACTTTTATCCCCAGCAAGCCGTAATGGTCATCAATATTGGCCCTCTTATCGCATTTCGGATTTTGTATCTTGACGCGACTTAATTAATTAAATACATGTTCCCTCCTCGTTGTTTCCTTTATTAACCCTGTCCGAAAAAGCCGAAAAAAACTGTCAACTCATTGGTATATCATTTGTCAAAATATATAAATCGGGGTTTCCTTTCGGGGATCGGCGGGTCAGCAACCAAAAAATGTTACATAATCATGCACAAAACACGCAGAACAAGAATCCAATCCCAGTCCCAACAACAAAGCCGCCGTTCCGCCTTTGCACCTTATCGATATTCAAGAATCGTTTTCCAAATACACAAAATAATAATCAAAAATGAGAAAACGAAAAGTGATGAGGAAGCGCTGAACAAGTAAAATTAAAATATGAATAACGCAATCTTTTCTCACATGGCTAAGCATTCTGGTCGTAGGAATCGGAGGCAACCCGCTGTCAAACAGGTAAGCAGAGGGTTAAAGTCTTGGGAGGTGGGGGTTCCTGGAGACCCCAATACTGACCCTGCCGCTCCTTGTTGTTGCTGTTATTGGGGGAGTGTCCATTGTTGGCTGTTCGTCTTACTTTTTTGTTTTATTTCTCCTTTTTTTTTTGAGCTGTCATGCATAATAAAATTCCAATATATTCGAGCGTACGCCTTCGCCCTGTCTTCGTTCTCGATTGCGGATCCTTATCAAACAAGAAAAGTGACGTGAGCTCTACATCTCCCCCATCCCAGAATAGCCAGCATCAGATCCCCAAACCCACGCCCCATCCCAAAAGATGATGCACAGCAACCGGAGCCCCACGCCCTGGCCAAGTGTTGGGTTTTATTGGCCAGCGGCGATTCGGTGCTCAGCAGTGCGACTCGGATGATGACACTGACCCACTGATAGTCTGCCAAAGCCCAAGCCAAAACCAAAACCAAGCCAAAAGCCAGGCCCAGCCCAGGTCAGGTTTGCAAGGTGAGACGCCTCTCAGCTCGGCTCATAAATATGCCAGATCCGAAGGCCTGGGGGCCTGGAGATTAGCCAAAGTTTGTGGGCAAACTTTTCACATCCAGATAGTGAAAGAAAAAGTGAATATATAAAGTCTTTCTAGTTCTTCGGAATACCCAGGTGTCAAGTTTGTTACAAGCCAGGGAATAGCTCATAAAAACTAATATAATTTTTCAGTTTTTAAATTAAAGGTGGAAAGAAAATTAGAGGTTCTAGCTAGAAAATTTTACATTTATTTTCCCCTCGTCAAACGGCCATTATGTGAATCAAACATTTTTTATACAAAAATGTATAGGGGAAGAAATAAATAAATGGGTAACTACTCGATGGTGACACTGTTAACCCTTTGTCACTTCCATTGACAGTTCAATAATGCGTCATTTGGTGTCTGTCAGGGTTCTGAGGAAGGGTCCTCCTCACTTCGATCTCCGAGGAGCGGGCAGGGGCAGCAGTGTCACATCAAAGTTGGACAAAAGGAAGATTGCCAGCAGGTACCAATATCCTCCTTTAGAGAGGGTAAAGCCGGGTTTATTGGGCAGCTTAAAATGAAATTGAGAATGATTAAGTGCAACATTATAGGGTCTTTTCGAAGAGAATAGTTATAAATAACTTAACAAGTTAAGTCATAAAGTCAGCTAAAAAGTATTAAGACTCAATTTCAACTAAAGAAACTTTACATAAACAACACTTTTTAAGGGAAAATATTTTTTATAGAAGGGCATCCGAAACCAACTTGTTTCTATATGGTTTTCTGCCTTTGTGGGGTCTGTTTTTGGCCATCATCTTGGCTTTCATTGGCTTGTTCTCCCGAGTCGTCTTGTCCCCTTCCCCAAGCCCTCGATCCTTCGCCTTAGCGAATCTCTTGTCGCCTGTCGGATGTCACATTAAATTCGCATTATTTGCTTGAAATAATTTCACGTTTATCGTTTCGGGCCAACTTCCACCAGTGTTTGGTGCATTTTGCAGGGGCTTTCAGAGGCAAGGGACCACCAGACGATGTATTTTAATGACTTTTGCTGCATTCGCAGGCAGCTTGTGATAAATGATTGCACTTGGGATAAGTTTATGTGGCCGAAATGCCATTTAATTGATTCATCAGCGCTTCATTATTGATTAGCAGTGGTTTTTGAATCGTTTTCGGTTTCGGGTTACCCGGTGAGTGAGCCACCCAGGTGCAAATGGGCTTTGGGATCGGTTTTTATCGAAACAGGGTTGGGCCAGACAACTGCACCTGCCACCGACCAGAACTGTCGTCGAACTCATTTGCGGCGGACAAATAGAAATTAAAACACTATTTAACATTTCTATTTTTACGAGTTCAACGAAAAATCCATAAAAACTCTTTAAGCGCAACCCTCGCCTCCGAGGGCACCCGCTGTCATTTCTATTGGCGACAAATAAACAAATAACAAATTTTATATTTAAGTGAAATGAGCTTTTCAGAATCGAGTCGGCTGGGCAGACAGCGGAAACCTAATTGAAAGAAGCCACGCAAATTGAGTTAACCAAGCGGAAAACCAGGCCATTAAATTCCGACTCTATGGGAGTGGGAGTTCCATGGATGTGGACATGGCTGGACGGGAATCGGACTCGAAACAGAGGGAAAAACTCCACATTTTCTCGTTTTCATTCGACTCGTTTCGATTCCATTCGATTTATGGCATTCGCAATTGTGTGGCAATTTAATAGCAATTTGCTGCTGAACCCGAAAATTGACGAAACTTTGATGAAATGCAATTGAAAACTTGACTGACTCCCGGCATTCCACTTCCACGTCCACTTCCATGTCCACTCCCCATTCCCCACTTTATCATTCCCTCAAATTTTGTAACAATGGCAACGTCCAAACTACCAGCAACTTGTCATGCTCCGCCAAACTATATTGATCAGAAATCGAAAGTCGATTTTGGTTCAGTTTTATGTTTTGACATTGTCCATTTATTTGTACCGGAAAGTGGCGGAAATATTTGGATGTCAATCGGGGCCAACAGATATTTGGTGTGGTTTCAATGTTTTATTAAATCTGGTACTTTGTAATATACTTTCCCATTCAAACAAACTTGTTTTCCAGCTATTCGGCTCTTATTTGATTTCCTTTTTTTATTGGGCATGGCCCACACGAATTTTATTTATTTTTTAGATACAACTTGGCAAGGCGCCTACCTGGCAGATACAGCTTCAGATAAGTCAACCGACGACGAACCGCCAAACATTAAGATACAAAGATAATGCAGAAATATAGTAAGAAAAGGGTTTTTTCTAGGATAATGGTGTTTAGATACTCTAGATTATGTTAATAGCAATCTTAGGCTTAAATAAATGTACAAACTTGGGGATGAAAATATTTGTTTTTTTTCATTTAAAGAACCTACAACAAGAGTATCTTCATAAAGAGTATCTAAAAGATAACCCAAAAACACATACACCAGGACGGTGCGATAAATTATTAAGTGACTGTGACGGGATGACTCCTGGTGCCCGCTCAGACCCCTCTGGCTCTTGCTTCTCCTCCAGCTTCCAGTCCTCTTGCCAGTCATCCTCCCGTGGTTTGGAGTTTGTCACCCGAACAAGCTGGCCTTATCTTCCAGATGACGGGCCTTATTTCTGTTTGGCTTTATTTTATTTATTTTTGGTTGTTACCGGCGGCAGCCCCTCCCCTTGTTCCTTTCAACTGTGGGAGCCAACAACTTAATTTGTGATTTATTTTTTGCAATGGTCTTTTTGTGGCGGGCAATAGTCGGCCTCAGACTGTTGTGCAGCCTGGCATGGAGTTGCTTTGGAGTTAATTTATAAAATGAGCAAAAAAATTAACTGACGTTGATAATAAATCAATTTCCTGCCTACACACTAAATTATACTGTTAATAATAAGCCGGCATGGCATGGCATGGCCAGACTGGGCCCACGTCTTCAGTCTGGACCTGGTACTGGTCGGGTCCTGAACTGGTCGGGTCCCCAGCGATCCACCCCGACTGCTCTTTATCTCGCAAATCCATTTGCATCTCATCAAGTCTTGGCTTAACACTCGGCAAGCCAGAGTTGCGAATCGGTTTGCGCGGATTGCGTGTCTTCGCCAATTTGTTGGCAGATTAAACAAATTTCCTGCCAACGGCCACGCATATTCTCGCAACCAACAGGTGGGCACTTCTTACTTTTGTTTCGATTGCATGTAGTTTGATACAAATTTCATAAACATTTTCCAAACATCAGAGCTGTGGGAGATGGTATAATCAAGATTTGAATTAAATGGATTTTACAACTTCAGTTTCTTAAATAAAATATTATAAAGAAAAATTATAAAAGAAATCCCCATCTTAAAGGCAAGCCTCCCTCAGGGCAAGACCCGCATCTTAGTTGCTTAAGGTGCACGTCGCTCGTCCTTTTTTAATTAAAAACTTGCAGACTGCTTAATTTTGTTTGCCCAAATCCCAGGACAACAATGAAACTTTTTTCCAACTGCCTAAGAGGGACTCCGGCTCCAGCTCCAACTCCCCGTCAAATCCTTTCGCGTGAGCCTCGAGTGAGCTTTTCAATTTGAGCCAGGTAACGAGAGCGGAAGGCCGGGCGAGTGCCAGGACGAGTGGCATTGCCAAGGATGGGTTTTTACACTTT